TGTCTGACTGGGCACTTCTCTGTGGCAGTCTATAATGTTGCTCCTCGGGGAGCACCATGACATGTCCAGAATAGATCTAAACAGATCGCTTATATCTGGATTAAGGAGTGTTTGCTTGTCGTGCTGATAGTTTGCACTCTTGGCTATAGTATAAGAGGTTATGTAGATAGTATATAAGGCACAACGTAGTCACCAGTATCATTGAACAAAACAGCCACATTATTTTATCCCCCTTACGAACTAAGTCTAGCTAACTGGAGTTATTGCTATTGAGCTGAGTTGACGGGAATAACGCGCTCTAGTTAAACATATACAACCTCAAATGTTTGCTGTCTGTAGTTCCTGTGAAACTTTCGACTACCGCCTGCTCATCGATATCTGCTTATCACCTATCGTTTTATTTCTGGACATGGATTTTTCTGGTTCTCATATGTCAGTATTCGGTCATACCAGCTTTTGGTTGCCTCTTTGGTACGCTGGTCGGTGATAAAGGTCAACTGTTAACCTATATAACTGAATATTTCATATCCCGTGTACGTGCCACTGGCTGCACGGTGCTGAGCTTTCAAGTGACTCAATGGACGTTGACCTAGGTCAGTAGTGAAGCTAGTCTGGGTTCGCAACTATCGGAACCCTGATTCACACGCGTCCTCGGAAGACCAATGAATACAGCTGTCAGTTTGATTGTTCCCACGGCCCACTCACCTTTGCACTTTAGGTTAATACAATGTCCCAGCATTTGATGGCTATCGCATCCAATTATTCGATATACATGTTCATCTCAATGGAGGAAAATATTCTCACAACAAACTATGAATCATCGATTCTGCCCTGAAGTCCTGTTTAAAGGGAAGCCGAGTAATCGAGAGTATGCGTAAGTGCTTTGTACGGTATTCTTTCACCCACAGAACAAATACAAGGGCACTTCAGTCGATATCTCGTTAGAGGGCACGGCAAATAAGCAATACTACAAGCTCCATACAAGAAACGGTCCAACAACGGTAATATCAAAATATGTTTAAGACAGATGCTAGCGGTTCAATTATCCAAAAAGGCGATTGTTTGGCACGCTAAAGCCTCTCAACAGGCACCCTTTCTATTGAAGTCTGGTATTGCATTGTGAGAATTTACGCTGAATGCTGCAAGACACGTGCTTTCACCAGTAGAAATAGCCATTGTGCGATTAAAGTTGGCTTCATTTCGCCCCTTTGAAGCCTTGAATGATAAGGTGAACATTAAGCAAATTCCAGTGGATTTAGACATTCATAACAATGTGTGTAGTATCACACCATTTTCCTTCTATCGGACAACCTTTCTTGAAAACCCAGCCTAGGGAATTATCAATCACTTAGCTGAATTACAGAAAGAGAGGCCGTAAACTTCGAGACTGTGTTATTTCTCCAACCAGTAAGCTGCGTCTCAAAAGAACGATCACGCTCCGAAGCATGTGCACTGACCCGTAGCATGGAATATTCCGCTGAGCCGATCGCCGAAAGCTCAGAACTCTCCTTTGAAAAACAGTAAAATCTGCTATTATAAGCTAACAGAATTGGTACCGGAGGCTATATTTTCAAAAGCTTATATATATCACAGGTTGAATGGGCTTTATGATCACCGGAACGCCACGAAATGTAAAATGCTATCGGTCTCGTTCCAAAAGGAGTTTGTTGTTTGCTTTGATTGAAAAAGTCCCGCTGAAGACCCTCCCTCCGGCCAATTAGAGTAGATCGCTCTTTCTCTCTCTGCAAAGTTACGTCAGTCAACACCAGAAATAGCACCTTTTGTACCTATTAGAATAAATTCCATCTTCACAAAGTGTCCAATGAAATATACTTCGACCGGGCTGCGGATCTCGTGTTTCTGTTCGATTCCAAGATTCGCTGTCAATAGCAGCGCCATCTAGTCTCTGACCGATAACGGACGTCATCATCAGTGTCGAGATCAGTTTTTTTTTTAAATGGTCCTAGAGTGTCCGGAACCCACTGAGATACTCAGACACTACCAAAATCACGGCAGGGAATTCGTCAAGCATCCAGGCCAGAAAAGCTGGTTTCCGATTGAACACTCAGGCAGTCAGTTAATTCAGCAAATGCCAACCAGTGTTCAGGCATGCCACAGAAGCACGGTCCACGACGATGAATGATCAGGCATTCCATAGGAGCACGGTCGATGATGATGGGTGTTCCCACAACGCCAACGACGCCATGCAACGATGGATCAATGCCAAAAACGCACTTTAAATGCCGTGAGATCCCTTGTAACTTTTACACTCGCTTGTTCTCAACAGAGCTGTTGTTCTCCTTGTTAATGGGTACTTTTCCAACACTAGGGCACTGGAACAGATGTTGATGCCTTATGACAATATTTTTCGGGTTAATGCAAAAGACAAAGTGAACAACGGCAATCAGGTTTTCTGAACCTAGGATGCACCTCATCAGGAGTTCAGATAATACTGGCGAACCGCTTTTCTCCGTATTCCCTGACAACGATCACTGTGAATCTGTACTAAGCCGTTGCTTGATGCTCAAACGTAAATGGGGTAGTTGCACTGTCACTGTGATTCAATTGAATTTTCACGCAGGTCGAAGCATCCATCGGTTAGCTGATTGTAAAAGTAAGTATAAAGGTGTCATGAATTGGATCGATGAACTTCCGATCAGTTGTCAATTTCATGAGTTCCCTTCAGGGATACACGCACCCCTCTACGCAAGCCAAGTTTCAGTAGCCACTGCAAAACGGTTGCACACTGCTTTACCAAAAATGTCCTTGATCTAATATCCTAGTGATTCGGTCTGAGCAGATTTGAGACTTTAGCAACTAAGTCACAGTTTGATGGTGCAAACACGCAGATTCTCGGGCATAACCGCTGGAAATCATGGAAAGAATTAACGCCTCTACTGTGAGCGTGGTGATTTGAAAGGCTTCTGATCAACCTAATAAGCGCTTTCGTTTTCTTGGCCTTGAGTCAAATCGCAAGTCAAACGTCGCCATCATTCAATTAGCTGACACTGGCCGACTTAGTCAGAATGTCAGTATTGCCCATTAGGCATCAGCGTAACCCGGAAAGTGAAAACACTTTTGATTCAGTGATGTCCTCCATAAGGCTGAAAACCAATGTTCTGGCTAGCGGTATCCCTCACTTTGGCATCGGCGTATCTAACTGCCCTTAGTCAGGTCTAGAAATGGCGGTTTTTTCGGAGTTGCGAGTCTAAGCCTGGGCTAGATGGGGATCGGGAAGAAACCAAATCGAGAATAATCACATGTATGCATTTTGCATTTCGCTTCTAGCACACGCATCGCACATCCATGAGAGTGAATTTTAGTTGACCATAGGGTATCATCTCTAGTTATGCTGATATCTTTTGAACTTTTATTTCACGTCAAACTTCCGATCTGCAATGTTACATTGCACTCATAAAGCATGAGTTGCTGCTGGAATTATTTGTTGTNATTGAAATCTTCAGCGTTGTCTTCCAAACCACACTATCTGATTTCCATCGCGGCAGTTATTCAAATGTGAAGTAAAATTTTATAGCTGGGTGCATCCACACAACCTATTGTTCCCCTGAAATTAAGCTGATCTACCCCCTGATCGAACAAGTACATCACTCCTGCACTGGCCAAAACAACCTTGTCGTCCCGGTCTGCGTGCCTAACACCGAGTGATGTTCGAAAGACCGCACCATCCAAACGTTAGGTTCAAATGAAAGTAGCAATGAGGTCGCTGTTGAAACGAACGTTGTTTTTCAGGTGCCATTTGGTCCGTGACTGCACCCAGCTCAGCGCCAAAAGCTATCGTCATTTTGCACATTGGTGCGTGAGCACCTTAAAAATCGCTCAGCCGTAATACCCTCTCGGCGCATAGCTGCTATGCCACCGGAAGGAAACACGACGGCTGAGATACTACCAGGAGCGGTTGATATGCCGGCGTTGAGTTCGAACCATGGACCTTCCTGTCAGTAAGTAGGTACCTCAATCGCTGAACCATATCGAGCTCCCGCTGCAATAAAGTTTTCGGTTTGTACTATTGCCTGGGCACTTTGAGCCATGGGATTGCGAATTAATTGAAGCATTCAAATATATGTGTAGATATGCCCCCGTTTGAGACATTCCAATAAGCTGTTAACGATATCCCGTTTCAATTTTGCAGAGGATGGCTAAATTCCGGTTATGAAAACCTACCAGCATAATATGCCACAATTTGTGAATGGCTACTTGATCCGATCAGATACCAGAATAAAGCACATAGAAGGAAACCTGACTTGTTTAGTTAACTCGGGGGTGTAATGTACAAAAGTATCCAGGCTCATGATACGGGCGCATATAGGAACATTTCTGTTCTTGCTGGAGAAGACGATTGTATGTGGACTGCACTGAACTTGAGCGAAATAATTCCGGAGATTTGCGAAAATACCGGAGCGGCATACAGTGTAAGTAAAAACAGAGGATAATTCTGGGTGAATTGCAACTGCAAGACTACTTACATGCTTCTACAAGAAGTTGGTGACATTCAGAATTTTATGATGCCTTTGAAAATAACGGCTATCACTCCAAAATAGGGCAGCTGTTCTTAACGAAAGCGGGACGCGAAAACGCGGAGCAACTCGGTCTGAGAAGATCACATTAAACATCTGTTAAACCTGATTTGGTAAGTCCCAAGAGCATAATATAAAAGTGCAGTCCCTGTGAAGTGACGAGTAAGCAGCAAGTAATCAATGAGGGAGCTAAGTGACCTACACCCGCTATTGGTTAGGATACTCGTGGACACGTACACACACGTAGTTGACAACCAATCTGTATTTTTTGGCGAGTAGTGTACATTACATTACATCGCTCATCGTTAACAGCAGCTAGTCTGAACTCGTTAACTGACGGACAGAAAATAAACAACGTTTAATGGCGTTTCACAAAAGACCGACTGATCGTTCAAACTTCCCACGTGTTGTTTTGGATAACAAAACCTGACAAGAGGCAACTGAACAGAAAGTAATGTTATGCCGAGCTTAAACGGCACTGCCGAATTCTTCTCTACTGGCTATGACTGACACCTCGGGAATTCTGTGCACTCCCACCGCAGGAAAGAGAAAGAGATGTCACGACGATACGTATACATGTTAAACAATAACTGAAAGGCGTGAGGTGAAGTCTTCGAAATATAAAGCAGCACAAAAGAAAAAGTAACAGAGAAAAAATCATGAGTTCATGAAGAGATGTCGCTCGTCGGTAGATTACTTTGGAGCAATTCCAACTCTTCGTCTGTGGTCTTCTTCATGTTCAAAAGTTCTTCCTAGAGGATTAATGCACTTGTATGAGTGACAGCGCCACCACCATCAAACAGTTACGTCGAAAACTGAAGCAATTTTTATGAGATATATATGAGCGTATGGTAGACAGAATTAACATGCAATCGAACACACACCGCATAGCTCGAAATTTGGCCAGTGAGGACTTGTCTCACTCTCTGCTTCCAGTGTATTTGAACCAAATAAATCACTTGAAGAGGAACCGCTTACGCTTATCCGGTGACCGAAAACAGGTTGAGTAAACAACAGTTTGGCCAGTGGCACTTGTTTTCGTTGTAACTGAGACCTATTACAATAGATTGGGTCCATTCTTTAGGTGCCAAATTCGACAAGGTGCTCTTCGCAACCAATAGCGATTGAGAACGAAACTTACGGCGGTTTTCAGAAGAAATCAAGCCCTTCCTCGGCAGAATATTTTCCAATCTTATCCCTGTACGTTCCGAAATATCATACATAGGTTTTAAATTTGGAGACGAGGTAGGAGCATTTGGTAGGAGCACGCCACTGAGAGGGTCACTGATTGATTAAACGGGCAGAACCGTGGTCGTTTGACGTAGATGTTAAACACTATCACCAATTACACAAATAGAAAGTGCTGAGATGAATGCTAAGAATACCAAAAACAAGGCTGTAGGCCATATGTGAATTAATGACCCCGCTAGTGAGTAGCATTTGCTTCTGTGGGGATATGTGAACTCAACTGTGCAATTTAGCTAACATATGACAATGGAGCTAACAAAGGGGTAACCCTGGTTTCATAATTAGTATCATCGAAGCATGACAACACCGATGCCTCGCTGTCCTAAGGGCAGCCTAATTTTTAGTTACGTTGGCTTATTTCATGTTTTCGCTTATCTGAAGCACCAATGCCTGCAATACAATATCTGGCAGTCTCGCCAGTTGCTTGGTAACACATCGAAAACTGGTTGTAGGGCAACTTACTTAATGGAGATGTAGTACCGAAGGCTTATGGGTATTCCCCCTTGACCCGGGTCAAATCCACCAGTAAACGACGCAATGTACTTTAACAAATATTACCAAGCAGAAGAAACAGTGCCCTAGCTACTTAACTCCATCCAGTTGCTCTTAGTCTCCTGATGGTTCTTCAGTCACACGCCAGATGCGAAACAAAATGTTTGTCGTAACTTACCCTCTAGGAAGAGGAACAATAGCAAATGATCCTTAAAGATTCGAAAATATCAAGATGGACAGTATACTAAAATTAACAACGATTTCAGCAGATGAGTAGTAGTGAAAGACAGCCCAGGGGCTGAGGACCTAGGGATGCAACTTTCTACATGACAGATATCTATTCGGGATAATCGGGAACCACCGACTTTTTTCGACCGCGGATCCTATCCAAGATTGGAAAGATTGATGAACATGGCTTAAACGTTTCATAGTGCGATTGTCTATATTTTACTTTGCATCCTACTGGTTCCGTTTCTGGCCGGCACAAAAACTTGAACTGGAAAGTAAAACTGGACAGCGTGACGAGTATCCGCATAGGTTAGAGCAACTGAATGACACGCTTTGGCATACTTCATGTACCTCAAATTAGCGGTGCACAATGTCTGCCTAAATGAAGGTACACTGGGCGCGACCAGGTAGAGGTTCAGAACTTGCCATACCTATGCGATTACTCTATAGGTATGCCAGTGGTTCATGTGTGGTTCACGTTTACGTGCGGTACAGTAACCACCGTATGGATAAGTGAATCCATCACGACTCTCTCGGGATTAAGTAATACTGAAATGCCGATTAAAACAGCAGAGATTTTCACAAAATTGAAGCATCCGATCTCGGAAACAACTCGGGCTAATCCGGACCAAGCAATGGCAACTAGCAAGGTCACCGATTTGGCCTCGGTTTGGAAGTCGCAGCAAATACCCGAAATACACTTTCAACGTACCTCCCAACCAAGGAGTTCTGCTAATTTCAACACCGAAGAGTCTGTGTCCCCCCGAACGAATACGTCACGTGTATTGTCAGAACGCCCCCAGCGCAACGGATGACGACGGAAACCGGCTACCATAAACCGCATGATGAAGGATATGAAGCCCTGGAGATAGAGAAAATCAATTGATTTCCGTCAAAAACAAAGCTAAATGATGTGACTAGCAAAAAATCAGGATACACAGGACAAGAGTTAGAAACATTTCAGCCAGCCTGGAAACTCGTTTTAATGTTACTTATACCTTGAAGCGCCTGTAGACTGCTATTTTGCTGTCGGTACCCAACATCTAGGTTACCCTCCTAAGAATCCCCAGACCACATGCATAACCGTTTCTTCAGCTGGAGAGGAACCGCTTCAGCGAGGCTCAGCACACGGGACCTCAAGCGCTTCGACTCATAACACAGTGAACGGGTCAAACCGCTGAATCTATGGATGAGAGTGACGATCCTCCAAAGTTCAATTCACAGTAACGATATATCAAGATAGATCAATGCAGACTGTCATTCTATTAACACCACATCCGTCGAGTGTAGGAGTACAGCAAAAGACCAACACGATAATTAACTGGAATGCTTGATAACTTTTAAGACTGCCACCAGCAACATGGAAGTGAACTTGGGAGTAAACATGCTCCAATCAAGAGTATTAGCTGTGTTGCCTACCATCGTTATCGAAACATGTAACCAGTGAGAGCTTATAGGTCCTTCGCTGCCATCCAGGCATGTGTAATAAGAGAAGCCTAGTGCTAAGTTCTGGAAAACAGCCGAGATGCCGACCCTGCCAACATACAGCTAAACAACCTGGGTATAAACTGGGTGCATGAACATCACTCACACTGGTTACCAGGCGAATCCGTCAGTATACCTAAGTAGACTTGGTTCAACTCTCTCATGACGGTAGTATCAACCTTAAGCGGTCCGTATACCGCCAGTGACTTTGACATACTTTCATCGACCTATTTTGGTGTTTCCATGGGTTACTTGGAGTAGTTAACACACGTCAGACATGCGATTAACAAGACAATAATGAGTCGCCATAATGGCCATCGCGTAGTGGCATCAATCGTATCGCTTATTACACATATATTAGGGCGAGTAGCCAAAAACAGACTACTGCTGACCCTTCCTTTATTTCTTCGTATATTTATTATTAAAATCTGACAGATCAGTCCACCGCTAATTACCGTTAGCTGCGATATTTACGTTTAACTCCACTACCACGACGACAGACAATTCGAAATCATTTTCCAAACCGTATAAAGTCCCCCTAGAGATTGATCTGAAGAAGTGTGAGTCCCGCGAGAGCGGCTCTTGTGTTTCTGCTGTGGGAAATTGATTTTGAGAAATTTTGCTCGCCCAAGGGGAAGGGTTCACTCTTGGAGGGGAGCTACTTTACAGTGCGTTTAAAATGCGCATAGGATTGAAAATGGTTCATGCTTTGTATAGGATTTCTCGTAACCACTTTGTCGCGTTGTACTGAAAGCTAAGGTGCAAAAACCCTGATTCTACTGGTGGTCGAATTCAGAGTTCCATCATTCGTGACCTGTGCATGCGGTGGTGGTGAAATACGGATTGTGCACCGAGCCTCGTATTCAAATGGAATTTCAAGTTAGTTATCAACAGGCTCAAACCAGGTTAACAAGCACGGTACAACGCGAGATGGTAAACGAGCGCTGAAAAAAGTGAGATTCCGTATGCATGCAGCGCACGGGCGACAAACTGAGATGTTTCGATGCTAACGCTCAAACGCTTTCTTAAAATTCCCTATGGAGAAACATCATCTGATGAATTGAGTCCCCGAGACAGTATTTCATGTGTTCAAACAAGTCTCACGGAGAGAGGCACTTCACTGACGACAATAGAATTTGCTATAGAGGAGAATGTTAATAGCTCAGGTAGCGTAAATGGTCGTTGGTTCGTTCACTGAGCTGAGCAATTCGACCGCAAACGTTCCATCACCAATCGAGGTGATATCATCAGCCAGTCGATAGGGAGCGTAGCGATGGGTCGGTGGTAGAGACCACGACTGCGGAGAAAGTAGTTACAGATACTCAACGCTCATCAAAAGCAACGATGCAGCATTTGTGGCAGACTTATAAAATACATGTATTACGGTAGGTTGTAAGTTTCTTTATCAAAACACCACATGAGCGTAGATCTCCAAACAATCGCTGTACAGGAGAAAAATGCAATAACACTGTCTACAGTGAAACTCCAAAAAGTCCGGAACGCCTGCAACTTAATGGAACATGCTCAGCTCAGGGTCACGAGTGCTATAAGTCCAAAGTGCTCGAATGGGAGGTGAATCTAAATAATGGCAGAAAAGAGAGCGTAATAAGCAATTAGGCACTTAACGTCACCTGAAACTCCTTCGTCGAACAAATATCTAAAGAGACACTACAGTCCATGTTGAGAAAACGAAGTCGACATGATGGAAATAAAGCCCATATAATGAGTTCCAAGAAGGGCAAAGTTGGCATTGGACTGCCGGAGAGTGTTCAGCAACCCCATGAGTAGTAAGTTGGGCCAAGAAAATGAGTCAATTCAAGAGGGGCTCCATGCACCCATGAGTTTTGAATATTTGTATACAAAACAAAGTGTAAACGAAAATAGGAAAGGCACATAATCAAACCTGGAAAATGTCTGCAAAGTTAACTTTCCAAAGGAATATAAACCTATTGTCAGCTATCTAGTTAACAACAGTACCAATGCCTGATGATTCTGTGGCATTGGTTCACATGCTGGTTAACTTTCTAAAGGAATATAAACCCACATTGTCACCTATCTGGTTAACAACAGTACCAATGCTTGGTGATCCTAAGGTATTGATTCAAATGTTGTGCCATGGAGGGAAACTGGGTGCTTGTGAACTGACTACCTTCCAAAAGGAATCGATAGTATCTAACCATTTTATGCTAGTTGATCTGTTCGCTTGGCATCGGTCTTCAAACGTTTTGTCCCCAGTCGAGGAGACATCGTCAATGCCCCGTTGAGTGGGTCTCAATTACGCACTCAACTGCAGACTGATGACGTTTCTTCGACTGGGGACGAAACGCTTGCAAACCAATTGCCACGCTCGGCTATAGTGTGATCAGTCAACAGTAAACACACTCAACCTACCTATATTACGGCAAACTGAGCATTTTACGAACATGGTAATGCCAGTCAAATAGACTGTGTATGGTGAGTACCGTGATGCGTAGGAGTGCATTCCCGTTACTCTCACTTGAACTGTCCGCTCTTTGTCCTGACGTGAGTGTTCTCGTTAGTCCACACTAGAGCTAGGAACCAATGGACTCGAGTTCCCGTCGCCTATTCTTGCTGGTGCTACGATTTGAATCCCGGGAATCCAACAAACGAAGCGAGCGTGCTAGGACATGTTATCATGCTGCATGCACCTAAATTATCATATCCAACTATGTGAGTTTATTCACGTTTGAACGGTGAGAATTTCGGATCGCTTAACTGATACAACCAGTACAGTCACTGGTTCGTCGTTTTGGTCATCCGGCAAACCAATTACACTGCTCATGAGTTAACAGAAGAGTTAGATTCCTGAAAATAGTCTCAGAATACCCAAAACCTACTGAGGCACTCAAACCCTGCCGAAATCACAGTCGGGAGGCCGTCAAGCATCCAGGCTGGAAAATTCAGCTTTCGAACGAAAGCTCAAGCAGCCAGTCAATTCTGCAATGACCGACGATGATGGGTGTTCACCCAAAGCCGATCAAACAGTCTAGATCAAGATCAAAAGTGCGTTTTGAGTAACATGAGGTCCTTTGTGACCTTTGCACTCACTTGTTCGCAATGAAGCTGTTGTGTTCATTGTTGGCAAGTTTTTTCCGACACCAAGGCAATGGAGCGGAGAGAGCAGTCAGTTAAGACAGCACACGAGTGGAAACATTCGCCTAGTAAGAGATGACAATGCAGGTGAGTCCATCCTGCGTTGTAGGAGTAGTGACAACACGCGTGCCAACGCGACTAAAGATACGTGTGAACACCAAAGAAATCAGAACTCCGGTCCAGTACTTTCCAGATTAGGTATGAACAAACCAGAATGGTCGCAGCACAGCAGGAAATGGGAGAAAATGATGCGAATACAAATATGAAACTAGGCTTATAACATAGCCACTTGAAGAAGTACTCAAGTTAAGGATTTGGATCGTGCTGGTCACCGGTGGGTGTATTCGTGATTTCGCTTGTTTACTATTGTGGTAAAATCAATTCTGAATTGAGTAATAGCTCCAGATGATTTAGACCACCTCTTTTTATTGGCTCAGACGTCCGACTGTTGAGCTCTTGCGTACTGTAGTCTGAAAAATCCCACCAAAAATACGGTTTCACATCTGAGAGACCAGTTAGAGGCCGACAAAAGCTTATCTCTTCTAAGAGCTGATCCGTTCTAAAGGCTCCCGGTGGACAATATTGGGGTCATACGACTTCCAAAATGGTGAGCTGAAGCAGTTTATTTGGTGAAATCCTTTCCTGAAAAGTTCACACGGCCAGTCCTTTGAAGCGATCTAGGGGGCGATATGCGAATATTTAGGACAACAATCGAGAGCCATCTCTAATTAAGGTTACAGTCCTTGGTAGGCGTTTTCTTTACAGAGGGTGGCTGCGTGGTAAGAGCATCGTCCACTAGAAACTTGTGGTAAGAAACCTATTTGAAATATCGGAAGTTAAAAGAATTTCCAGGCTTATACAGTAAAAAGGTGTTTCTAGAATGATCAAACGTGCCACTGCAGTCTCCGGATAAAACAGTGCGCACGGTGGCGTTAGGTCTGGTCAAGTTCCTGTTGAGTGATCACCTTCTCACTAAACTGACTACTTTTGAAAAAAACTATTATTGGTTGGTCCCTTCAAGTTTCTGTAAACTTTTCCACCCCCGGGTGAAACCACTTTTGGTCCGCGCCTTCATGTAGTTTTTGCACAGAGTGACAGCGTTGTCATACGGATGAGAAGTGCATTTTGAAGCTTCCAATGGTAATGTGGTTAGTTGGGTACGTGTATGAAACCAGAACATAGGATTCAACAGCCTTATCCTTGCTGAGGGAAGTTCGCGTATGGAAGACCTATGGTGGTCCTTGTTTGGGGCTGTGATCGCTGAAAAAAAATAGTTCAGCCGTAACACCCTTTCGGTGTCAAAATGCCGTCACCTGAAGGAAGCACGAGGGCTGGGATACTACAAGGTTGCCCAAGCCTAGACGGGGGACGTACAGATGCAAATGTCGGGTTCGAAACACAGAGCTTCTGGCCAGTAAATTCGCGCTCCAACCACTTGAGTTATCCCGTCCCCCATCGTTGCAAAGGCATCAACTCGAAGGCGAATCTCTATGAAAGTGGTCTCATTTGGTCGTATACACAAAACGTATACAAAAACGAAGTAGTCACAGATACCGAGCAGAAAACAAAGCCATCGAGCTACACTGTCGTAGGGGAGAGGTTAAAACTTCCGACGGGAAGTAGACGCAGGAGATCAAGGCATTTCAACAATGTGGAAACAGTCAAGTTGAATGTACAGTATGAAGTCTATGAGAAAGCATGGATGACGAAGGGTTCGTGCAAGAAATGGCTGTTGGCTGTATAAAAAACTGACCCACTAGAGGGGAAGACTGCTAGTGACGCTGGAACACTCTGTCACATATTCATTTGTTCAGCTCGACAATGTGAGGTTGACATTTTTGCCCCAAAACATTGCCCACCAGACGAAAGGATTATCCAGGTAGACAGCTGCTGTCACACTTTCCTGGTTATCCGAAAACCGCACTAACTCAAAATCTATCTAGGTAGGTATGAGAACTGTTACTAGGACTTTGCTTCATTGAGTTTAGTTAATGGATGTCAGTATCCGGATCCGGTATAGTTCTGGCAAAGTGATTAGGCTAGACAGCATTACCACTGGGATGAACACGCATTCCAAGACCACAGTTTTGGGACCACTTCTGAGGCCTAACGCTTATTGATTCTGGAATCAATGATGAATTTTTAGTCAAATTTTACGTGTCTTGGTGGATGGCCAGTCAAATTCCGAAAAATTCTCGAAATGCTAAAATGAGGGACATGATGAAGGAGACGAACTAGCTGCAATAGTAAATGGTACCACATTTCTGTATTTCGGAAACTCGAAGTACGGCCAAACTGGGGCATGTTTCCAGACGCGAAAAATGCCAAGAAATAGCAGATATTATGAAAACCGAGGCACAGCAGAAGCACACTGTTTTGCACGTTTTTTTCTGATAGATGTTCCTACCCTAGGTATCTGGATGATTGCAGTACACAAGCGAACCTTCCTACAAGCGCAATATATTATTTAAGCTAGTAAGAACAACAGTTCTGGAGAATGAATTCAATCGGTACAATACAAGACGCAGTAAAATGAAACAAAGTACTGGGTCGGTTCCATTGTTTATATCGGACTACAACGTAACGTGACCCATAGTTCCAGAGTAACTCCCAAGTCTTTCTATAGACGTAGCACAGACCTGGATCGATCAGTCAATGCCGGTTCAAGGAATTTCAATATGTGGGTGGCTACCTCGTGTTGTAGTCTGGAAAGAATAGTTCAAATCCATACCCTACCCAACTAGATATCTGGTAAGCAATGATCTGGCTTCCGAACCCCTCCAAGTCTGAGTCAGCCAACAGTGTACAAAGTAGTGCACTTTTTCTCACGTTTCGGGTTTTTGGTAAGTCCAAACAAACAGATGTATCCTCGGAACTTCAGGTGGAATGATAGGGACGATGACTGCTTGATAAACCCAACATTAGAGTTTGATCAGCGGCAATGATGCAGCTCTGGTGTCCTCAACAGACAGTTGTCCTTTAGGGCATGTCTGGCGCACGACCACCTTTAAAGCACAATGGAGTTAGATAAAAGCACGTTAAATAGTTTATGGAGTCTCGTAATAAATAGTTTCTTTTGGTACGTGGTTTGTGCCTTTGTTGCTCGGTCTGAAACCGTTATCAACGAAACGGGTAGCATGGTTTTTTCCTGACATAGCAGTACTTATAAGCTCACCGACAGTCCGCTTACCACTTAGGGAATATCATCAACGAGGGGTTCAGGTGAGCAATCCAGTCTTCTCTGGAATGCAGTTCGGTCCCGCTCTGAGGAAGAAGATTTGCACCAAAGCACGTCGGTGCCGTACGGGACAAAAGCACGGAGTATTTAAGTACTGTCCAGTCCTGGTAGGCTTTCGATTAAAGCAGTGACTCAACGGTATCCTACGTAACCAAAACATCCGGTAATTATGTTTTATACTTCAAATTTGCAAGCAAAAGTGGCGTCTTAGTGAAGTATCAAAAAGTTTGAGCAAGTGTTCATCCTGTTCTCTATCCTTTGTCACAAGTAAAACATCATCCAGATATCGTTAATACGAAGTTCATTCGACACAGCACCCTTTGCAGTATATTTGCGAAGAATACAAGCGGTTACTGAGACCAACTGGCTAGGCTTTGAAGCAGTTCTCGTTCATTGAAGAGGTAGAGTTTAGTTCCACGATTTATTTTCCAAAAATTTCGGGCCATTTTTCGAACGATTTTTACTTTCCTGTTGTACTCACTTCTCGTGGAGAGGCTTACTATGTCAGGTTACCCAAGCCTACACAGGAGCAACAGAAACATCACGGGTGGATTAGAAGTAGTGATTCCTCGGGAAAAAAACTGCCCAGTGTCTTCCAAATTACGGAGAACTCTCATGATAATAAAAAAACTCACAGTTTGATCATCTTCTGAGTACTCTCGATTCAAATATAGACGAGGAACTCGAGGACCAACGCGATGTATTAGTCCGGCAAATGGTAGAACTTGCAATGAAGTACCCATGATAAGTAATAAGTCACACGCAGAAAAGTCCTGCAGAAAACCATCATAAAGGTTACAGTAATAGTAAGTGAAGTGATCTGCAGAGCAGTGAAGTAGGAAACTTACAGAAGAAAGTCGACTATAAAATTTCCGAGGTAAATTTTCACCAAAGAGAACAACGTCTACAGACGGAGTGAGTGCAACTCTTAGTGGAACGCACCTGGCTTTACCACACCATTACAATTAGCGGAACATTTCGGAACTTCCTTGCGAATAATTTGATCTGGCAAAAGTGTATGTATACAGCAAAACTGGGTACCAACTACCTCGCATGTACTCAAAAGTGTACTCCTCATGGCACTGTTGACAATGCCCCGTATGAAATGTCCCATGTGCTTCGACAAATTTGTCCTCCGAAAGGCCAGACAATCTTTCTAAATCGTCAACGTTCTTGAATTGGTTTGCATTCAAGTAGGGGAGAAAAGGTTACTTACTTGAGTGTAATGACGTCGAAGAAGAGTCTTCTCGTGTAGTAACCGAACGAAATAATGCGTCAGTGTTGGCTAGGGCATAAAAGACGAAAAGCACGATGGAAACCTTGGCATGCGGTCTATACAGGCGTCTGGCCACTTCAAAGAACGGCTTTGGATTGGTCTGAAATGTGTACGTCGGACAAGTCGGTAGATGTGACACGAACTTTAAAATAATCCAGCGAGAAAACAGCCATGGGATGTGGAAGGTTGAATTCCTCCAGGTTGTCATAAATTCCGCTGGAACTGCTGCGAAAATCTGGTATGCCCGCAGCTATGTGAAAGACATAGGGAGTATAAGTTACGACGTTATCGTCAATACTTTGATGATATTCAGAAAAGAAATTAAAAGGAGTTAGCGGAATAAATGAAGGACAGTTAAAGTGACGTCGCAAATATGGGAAGGGAAGTACCCCGGAATTTAGCTGACATTTGGCCCTTCTGATCGTACAATAGCGACGGTTAGGCCTTACGACAGAACTCCGTCATTAACCGGCGACGATGATGATGATATCCCCTCGATAAGTAGTGCGAACTACCGCTAGGATCAGCGAACAATTCAACCAACAAATGAAAACAACCTGAGCTGATAGCGTACGCTTCCACGTAAGGCATATAGAGCTAGTTGGTCCTTAGCTATCAACATAATATTAAGTGTAGGGATTCAGGACACTAAAGTTTATGGTTGCTTACAAAATCATATTCGATGTGAGCAAAAGCAGGAGGCACCAAACGCAAAAAACTGGAACGGTGAATGAATGCCCCTGAAGTTAGAATTTGTGGATATTTAAAATAAGCAAGTTCAAGACCTGAAGGCCAAGTTAGAGTAAGGAATAAAAACCCGTTCAATTATGTGATGACCGAACTACATTTCAGATTAGTATGGTACGACAAACCAAAACTACTGGCCTGGACAACCATCATTCCAAAGGTAGGGTATAAGGAACGTCGCAGTAGAGAGAGTAACATATTTAAAATATTACTGTGGAGATCCGTTAGAATTCGGTGCTAGCCGAGCCCACTGCTGCATCTGACATTTGTTAGGGTGACCTCTGTCTTTTATTCAGAAAAATGGGGCGAACACGACAGACGGGGACGTTGCAGTAAATAACAAAATAGGACCATTACGAACTTGGGCATTTCGCATCCACACACCCCACCCAGGTAGATGTACAGTTTAATTTCTGTTGACTCGAAAGTTGAGTTTATTCAGGTAACATCAACCAACCGACACCCGCTTTTATCATCCCACTCTTACACTAAAGCGCTGGAATCCGCAACCAATGTTCCGAGATACAGTCGATTTCACCAGAGAAAAATCAACAATATTTGAAAGCAAATGGTTTGATCCGAAGAGTTCTAGAGAATGGCAGGCTCCAAGTGGATTTCTCGAAATCCCCTCTAGATTCACTAGATCTAAAAGGATCTTTGTGACTAAATGGGAATGCTTTCGGTACAATCGGGCGTTGATTATGTTGAGAAATATTGGCAGCTCAGATGGACCCACCTAACTGCGCACCAACGATGTCTTTCCGAAAGAAAGGTTTTAAAAAACCAGTTGCCACGCTCAGTGAACAAGTCCCCACCACCGACAACAACAGTAACAACAAGGTACTGGAAAAACTAGCTCAAAAGAAGGCACATGGTACTGTGTTTCTCAGAGGTATCTTTGGGATATAGAGGGAAGTCTTTTGCTTTTCCAAAGACACCGAGCCCCGGTCGCGTTTGGGTGGAAATGTTTGGTGGTGAGATGTCACAGAATGTCATAGTACCGAACAAACCATTGCACACGCCCAATATCTATCGCTTTACGAAGGCGCGCAAAGACGGGACACAAGAAGAGCAAGCAAGATTCCGGCGGGCTGTGAGAACTACGTCTTCATGTTCCGTCAAGTTCAAGAGTAACAGTATCCGTATATGTCGCCTAAAATCTTGCTCTCCCCTGATTTCGATGGTGCGTTCGAGTCTGTCGATCTGTTGGTTTTGTTCGACAAACCTGTGCGACGGAATATGCCCAGAAGTTCGTGAATTTCACGCGCTGCTTCTGTTCACATGCTTATGGGCGGGTGAGCGTATGTGGAGCTCTCCAAAAAATTTTTCTATAAGTAGTGGTGTGCCACAAGTGTGTTCACTGTACTTTTGTTTAATTTTGTTATCGATGAGGTCACGAATGCATCCAGCACTGCAAGTGAAGATGGCTGGGCCATGTGTTACGCATTCCGAGTAACCGCCTGCTGAGATGAGCGCTGCTTTTTGTGCCTAATTGGGAGTGCAGGAAGCTTGGAAGTGAACAGAATTGGATATGGCAGAAGGGAATAACGGATGTTACGGAAAATTTGGGTGTCGCTTTTGCTGTTCGACATGGCGGCTAGCCGATTTCAGTGATGTTAATCCGTCAGTTCCTATCCAAATTTCCTGACTAGCCTACCTGTGGTAGGCTAAGAGCTTTCAGTCAAATAAACTGACGTGGTTTTATGACAGTGAGGCATCAGTGTTATTGCCTGGTGTTGCAGTCAGTGATGATGGTGACGATGGCATGCCCTAAACTTCGGACATAAGGAGCAGGAAATTTACTCCATTAAACTCAAAAGCTTAGCCAGTCTGGCATGTGGGAAGGTGAGATGGACCAGCGACTTTATGATGCTGCAGTGGACTATGGAAGCACTGCGAACACTGTCATCTCATCATGACGGTGGGAAAAATTATAAAATCGGAAAAATTGAGCTTACTGGTAGCTTGAAGCAACCTGTCTTCATGCCTAAAGTTCTAACTGTCCGGTTCAAATAGACAAATTAACAACACTCATCAAAAGTAACTCACCTGTAGATATGCCAGCACCAGCCAACGTGATGATGTTCTTAGCTTTCCCGCTCTTTATTATATCCACGACTCCTTGCCATAGAGGTAAACAGCACTGAATATTAGATTGTCACCTTCAAGGTCGAATGACGAGAGAGATGGAGTGTCACGACGAAACCAACTCATGTGCAAAAAAGCTGAAATTAACCACAAACGGTAGAGCCACAGGGTTTTGCTTAATCGGATAGAATGAGCCTCCGTAAAATAAAAGTTAAATCTAATACATCAAAAACTCAAATGACACCCTGCGAAAAATACAATGTGAAAAAAGTCGCATCATAAAAGGCGGATTATTTTTTCTCGGAAAACGCAACTGCACAACGCCAACACGCCAGGATAGCCACCCTTTGCTATGCGCTCTAATGACATCTGTTACCGCATTCATTTGACGGAACACATTGTTCATAAGGTTGCTGAAGACTCTTCAACAGTCCACGACCGGTTTCGCCCATTTTGAAACTCGCTGGTTAGGTGTAGTTTCCAGTAATCTTGCTCTACTAGAGCACCACATTGTGTGTAAATGGAAAATACGAATACTTGCAAGTTAAGTTAGTGGTAACGGTAGAGACACTTGTGACACTGAACTACACTCGAGTGTGCCGTGTCGCACTTTGAAAAGCCATAGATATTTATCATGTAGTCAACCTTTGCTTAGTCTGATCCGGATGTACGAGTTTCTTCAAAAATTTAACTTTAAGACGTTGCAGCTCAACATATATACCCAACTTCTGGCAAAAAAGGCTCCACTCACTTGGAGGAGGGCTTTTATATGTCGCACCTGTCAACTCTAGTCGGCTGAACATCGTCATCATCATCATCACGGACAGCATGACATCAGTGTTCAACAATGATGCTTCGCTGCCTTCGGCTGAGCACTGAATTTATATCTTTCAAATCCCTAATTTTGTCGTCTATTGAGCCCCATAGAATCTCAAAACGAGTTAACGTAAGTGAGCATTTTTCATCAATGGTTGCGTTCAGGAATTCAGCACCAGATGTTTGGCTGCTGATCTGTTCACCATTCAGCTGCAACACCCTTTTGGTGCCTACCTGCCATGCCATCCGAAGGAAGCATGAGGCCTGGGATGTTGTCGAGTTTCCCAAGCCTAGATGCATGATGCAGAGGTCGGATCACAGACCCTCCGATCAGTGAATTCGCGCTCTAATCACTGAGCCATTCCAACCCCAAGAACGGCCGACCGGGGATCGAACACTGAACACCTCAGACGGGACAGCGGCAAGCTACACGCTTCCAACTCTGTTTACCGAGACTGACTATGGGCTTGCAGACAACGGACTTGCGTGTACAGTGTTCCATCCAAAAACGTCAGCGCTGTCTATCGTCACATAAGTAAAACAAGACCGGGTTTATAAGGATGCAAGACCTGATAGCGAAGCGCCAAACGCGGAGTGACACAGAAATCCAACACTATCCTGCACGTGGAGCACACTGTTCCACATCCACCTTACACTGAAGTTTCTAATATGAGGCCGACACAATGCAGACCACGCTTCATTATATTTCATCCTAATAAGATACTTAAATTTGACCCTCGTGTGGGTCGAGAAGGGTTTCGGCCAAGCATCCATAGGGTGCATAAATTATGCAGCGCAGACCCGCTGGCTTTAGAACTGCGTTCTCCTTTTGCTTCCGGTTTGGACGGGCCCACACACTGCTTTGCGTAAAATGACGTTATTAACTACCCTGCTTGTGAGTCCACTGACCCGATGCGGTAGATAAATCTTGCAACGTGTATCAGCCTCCTAATAGTTTGAACCTCAAGTGGTAGCGTGCAAATCCTGGCGCCCAACAAAATTCTTAGCATACCTTTCATAACACTTGGTTTAATTATAAATTTGTGATGCCGTGATTCATAATGCCTCTTAGAAAAGCCCTAATCAGCCATCCTGTCGTACTACTGGCACAAGAGCCTTCAGTTAAGCACTGAATATCATAAGGTATTATGGCACTGCTCGAATCTCAGAGAAGCGTTCCCACTGATCCTGAACATAATTCGACCGGGTGAATTATCAGGCATCAAGTGAAAATGAGTGTGCACGCAAATGGAGAAGCATGGTGAACATGACAATGAAAAAGACGAGCAGTTCAGAGAATGCCCGGTGGATCCGCGCGGTCGGTCATTGAAAACTGCCTGTAAACGAAGCAGTGGGGAAGCCGAACTGGCGCGATCAACTTAATTGGTAGAGTTGTACTGAATACATCTCTACACCCAGTTAGGTGTTAGAACAACGCCATACGCACAAGAGTTCCAAAACTTTGATACTTCTGGAGTTGAAAGTTGAATTTTTCTTCGTCGACCAGTCTGATTTCCTAAACACGTCTGTTCGGCATAGAATGACCAGGAAGCTTGTCGTGGCAGTAGGTTCTTTATGTTCTATGACTCGTATCAGAGTATATGGGGGGGATTTTCACAAGGTTAGACACAAAAGCTGTTGTATAATGGTGTTAACAGTGATTCCTATCCTCCCGATCCAAGTGCAGCTTTGTGACAGGAGAGGTGATGAGACTAAGGCTAGGTCTTCAAACCTCTGGTGTTCAAACAGCCCTTGACGAAAACCCTGCCGATCTGGAACGTACAGACATCATTCTCCTCTTCGAAGAAGAGAAAGCGCAGGTGTTTATTAGTGGACTGACCAAAGTCATCCCGTCCTTTGTACCCACACAAACACTACAATCCAGGGAAGAGTACTCCAATTTGTGGAGCATTCCACGTACTTTGGAAGTTGTATTAGTTCAGACTGTCGTATGGCAAATGGGACCAATGGACGAGCCTCTAAAACTTGGGTCGTGTTCGCCAATTTGAGTCAGGTATGACATCAAAACGACATACCCCTGAATTTTAAGCGAAGTGTGTATCAGTAATGGGAAGTGGTCTCCCTCGAGCGATCGGAATAAGACGCCATGAGGCATTCGGTGGGCGTGGTCTTAGAACAATAGCACGCGTAAGCTGCCACAAACAAAATTGCAACGATGCGTCAAGAAAACGAGTGTTGCGCCGTAAAACACGGACGCCAATCGAAGAATGTGCCTAGCGCCAAGAGCTGCAGTGGTTTGATCTTATTGTGCACGCCGGATCATTGTTTACCGAAAACAGTTCTGCTTTCCGTGCCCAATTCAAGGTGACCCTTGATCCCTCTGACCTAGCCGAGGGATTGAGGACGAATACAAAACATCCGGGCAGTGCATGTGCGACTGATCCTCCAAGATGGAGTCAGCGTGACCTAATCCAGTGAATGGCTGAAGGAGACGTTGAGGTCGATGTCAGCTACGGTTTTGTCCATTCCTATCCGCATTACCAGAATGAGTGTCCGGAAGTGTAAACACTTCTGAAAGATAGTAGTAGACTAGCACTAGGTCCCTTTCCCATCTACTATTATCCCTTGCTTCGCATCAAGACTTTCAAAAAGTTGTGGTTGTAGCGCGTGGAACATTTACGATATGAAACAGGGTACTCGTTTCTTGGGTTTACTGGCATAATGCAATTAAGGACCGCACCGCTCAGTGGTGCGAACTTCATCAACTTGTGTAATCTAAGATTATCAGCAATCAAGGGTGAACCGCGTCATGCGTAACGGAAGCCGATGTGGCCGATTTTATTCTAAGGCTGTCCCAAATCATGGGACAACAGCTAGAGCAACGGCACCCCTGAGTCTGAACTGGCTACCGATGAGAAACAACTGGCAATGAGTGCGAGAACCGCCAAACGTTATTTGCGTTTGTACCCAGACTGAATATATCGAGGTCCTGTTATTCCTGTTATCATGATTATACCGCAACCACCGTGGTGGACGAGAGTACCTAGTTTTCTGATGGGGTGGCCTCCGGTGTAACAGAGCTATAACTAATCGGTGCTTGAAAGGACACGAAAAGGGACGTCCAGTACTTCGATCAGCGCAAGATATCATCCTAGTGGAAAGTCGAACAACACAGATGTTTATGTGAAACCCGTCTTGGCTAGCGACATGAGAGCTATGTTAACTCAGACGCTATCCAAAGCAGCTGCAGGATCACCCTAGGAGGGTAGCCGACAGAGCATAGACAGAGGTATCGTACAATCAGCAACTGTACTTGCGCCTGATATTTTGGCTTCAACGATTTCGCGGATAATGCATCCACTGTACGTGAAACAGTAGTACATTGGCTAATCTGCCAAATAAAATCGAGAAGCGAAACCGAAAAGCGAGGCCTGAATATCGAAGGCTCATTAATAGTCAGCAATGGCGTCCGATGCATCAGTAGCCTAATCACGGACCGATACAAACGATCAAAACTTTCTAACAAAACTCCCAAGTTGGGCATTTTCTTGTCGTTCAGCGGCTGTCGTTCACCTGAAAGACCCAAGCGAAAAAGGGGTGTGGCACTGCTCACTAAGTTATAAGCGCGGGGCAGTAATCTTGCAAACGCAACTCAACTAAAAAGACGTCTAAAGTGCTTTGAACTGGATGCAGGATGAAGCGTAAACAACCGTCAGGTTTTCCAAAAACCAACTACTCTAAATAAGAAAAAGCGTTGCCCAATTAAGATGTGCGCTCTGAGCTTGGAAATCCCCTTACCATGTCCCCGCCGTGTGTTAGTGCGGTCAGCGGTGAAAAACCTGCTGGACTAAACTTGTCCAAACAGAGTAAGTACGGGGTCTCCTTGGGGGAGAAGATACTCCATATGAAGTAGGCCAAGCATTACGAGACACGCTTCATAGTCCACGCAATTAAGACCAGCAAACATTTTCGTGGCAGCTCGTTGGACACGCTCAACTAGGATTACGCCTATCGTGCGCGCTGAGTAGACGTGGTTAATTGATCCAAAAAGCTGTCTAATGTGGGCCCCATAAAGTGTCTGAAAGCCCATGAGAGTAATACAGGGAAAGGTTAGCCGAATCATCCGTAGAAACGCGAGTGCCTTCTGAGTCGACTCTTCATGGTGCAGTGATAAGAACATGTTTGAATGAAGCCAGATGTCTAAATCTCTTTTTAAATTTATCCTCGTAGTGTTTCCTTTTCCGTTCCCACTATGAGTCCGGAGTCCAGCCGACCTTAATAACCAAACATCACTTCAACTGGGTAGGTGTGTCACGTGCGCGCTACGGACCAAACGAGGGCATGCCTTGATTGGT